TATCACCAATTTGATATTTATCTCAGTTGTCACGCCATTCTTGAGTTACTAACAAAAGTCTTATGGCTGCATTTTAAGGAACAAAGATAATCATCAATAGAAGGCTTTGAAATGCTTGCTAAGGAGAGTAAGTTTGGTCAAAGTTCACAGCATGGAAACTTAAAGATGCAAGAAAATCCAGGACACAGAGATGGAGTAGTTTTTTTCATATCTACATAAATACAGACTTGTACACTAAAAACTGCAAACATTGCTGAAAAAAATTGAAGAAGACCTAAACAGCAGGCAGGGCAGAGGAGAGTATTGGGGGGGAAATGGGGACAACTGTAATTGAACAATAATAAAAAAAATTAAAAAGGACAAAAAAGACAGAAGAACTAAACAAATGAAAAAAATGTTTATGGTTAGGAAGACAATATTGGTAAGATGTCAGTACTACCCAAAGTAATCTACACATTTAATGTACTTCATATTAAAATTCCAACAGCTTTTTTTTAGAAATTAAAAAAAAGCCACAAATTCACATTGAATTGGAAAGGACTGTGAATAGTCAAAATAATCTTGAAAAGTAACAAAGTCCAATGATTCACACTTCCCAATTTCAAAACTTACTATATTAATAAAAACATTGTTTTACTGGCATAAAGGTAGACATATAGGTCAATGGAATAGAGTTGAGAGTCCAGAAATAAAAGAATAAATCTATGGCAATCAGTTTTTGAAAAAGGTACCAAGTTTGCTCAATGGTGGAAAGAACAGTCCCTTTAAATGGTGCTGGGACAACTGGCATTCAACATGCAAAAGTGTGAAATTGGACTCCCTACCTCAAAATGGACCAACAACCTAAACATCAGAGATAAAATCACAAAGCTCTTAGAAAAAGATATAGGGGTAAACCTTCATGAGTTTGGGTTTGGCAGTGAATTCTTAGCTCTGACAACAAAAACATGAACAAGAGAAAAAATAGATAAACTGGACTTTATTAAAATTAAAAACTTTTGTACATCAGGAAAGGACATTATCAAGAAAATTAAAAGACAGCCCACAGAATGGGAGAAAATATTTGCAAGTCATATGGAGGTTTAATATCTGGAATACACAAAGAACTATTAAAACTCAAAAACACCTGGCTAGTGTGGCTCAGTGGGTTGAGCATTGGCCTGAGGACCAAGGGGTCGCTTGTTCGATTCCCACTCAGGGCATATGCCTGGGTTGCAGGCCAGGTTCCCAGTGTGGGGCACTTGGGAGGCAGCTACACACTGATGTTTATCTCCCTCTTTCTCCTTCCCTTCCCCTCTCTAAAAATAAATAAATAAAATCTTAAAGAAACTAAAAAACAAGTCTCCACAACTTCTGGCTGCAAAAAACCAGCAGGTCCCCAAGCACTTCCTCTTAAAGAACCCACACATGGTCTCACCTACTCAGACTCACTCCCTCTGAGCTCCAGTACTGAGGTAGCTGCTTGGAAGGCACCAGTGCCTTTCAGGGAGAAACTGAAGTGTCTGGCATCAAGGCAAGCAGAAGCCATTATCCCTTTTCTTTCTTTTTTTAAAAAAAAATTTATTTTTATTTTTAGAGAGAGGGGAAAACAAGGAGAAAGTGAGGGAAGAAACATCATTGTGTGGTTGCCTCTCACATGCCCCTCACTGGGGACCCAGTTGAAACCCAGGCACGCGCCCAGACTGGGAATCCTATCAGCAACTCTTTGGTTTGCAGGCCATTGCTCAATCCACTGAGCCATACCAGCCAGGGCCCATTGTCCCTTTACTAAACCCTCCCCTGACAGAGCTGGCAAGTTGGTGCCCTATCTGAGACTCCATCAACTGGGCTAACACTGTTTGACCTGCCTTGGAGATCCCCAGAGACTCTGTCCCACCCAATTTAGGGACCCACCCAAGCTGTTTTTTCATATGACTGGCTGGTCTTGGCTCATGCTTCACAACTTTCTAAATCTTATCAAACAAGCAACATCTGGCCTGCTGAGCAGCCAGCTTAGATTCACAGCTTGCCTTCACCTGGGAACCTCAAAGCTCAGCACAAGTAACAGCCATCTCAGATTGCTTTATAGCTCAGGCAGGATGGCCTCCGGCAAAACACAGGTGGGGGCTGAACTTGGCTTGCACCACTCAGGAAACTCCAGGGCTAGAACACCCAGTGGACAGCTACAGATCACATTGGAGAACCACCACACTGCCCCTGCACAGCTGATCTTCCATGGAGGGCAGAGGTTGTAGTTAAGTGGTCACAGCCAATCCTTACAGCCGACTGGCCTGGGTCAATCCATCCCATTGATCTGCCAACAGCAACCAAGGCTCCACTACAAGAGGAAAGTGTACTCAGCCCACACAAAGGGTGCACCTTGAGTACCCAGCTTGGGTGAAAGGGGACACTGTGCCCTGGATCCTACAGGATACCTACTACATTAGGACACACTACCAAGACATGGAGTCAAAGCAGCTCTACCTAATACATAGAAACGAATAAGGGAGGCTGCCAAAATGAGGAGACAAAGAAACATGGCCCAAATGAAAGAACAGGTCAAAACTCCAGAAAAAGAGCTAAATGAAATGGAGATAAGCAATCTGTTAGATGCAGAGTTCAAAACACTGGTTATAAGGATGCTTGAAGCTCAAGGAACTTAGTGAGGACCTCAGCAACATAAAAAAGATCCAGTCAGAAATGAAAGATATATTAATTGAAATAAATATCAATTTGCAGGGAAATAACAATGAGTGGATGAAGCAGAGAATCAAGTCAATAATTTGGAACATAAGGAAGCAAAAAACAACCAATCAGAACAACAAGAAGAAAAAAGATCCAAAAAAATGAGGATAGTGTAAGCAGCCTCTGGACAACGTCAAGAGGTCCAACATGTGCATCACAGGGGTGCCAGGAAGAGAAGAGAAAGAGCAAGAAATTAGAACTCTATTTGAAAAAATAATGAAAAAAAATCTGTAATTTGGTGAAGGAAATAGACATGCAAGTCTGGGAAGCACAAAGAGTCCCAAACAAAATGGATGCAAAGAGGACCACTCCAAGATAAATCATAATTAAAATGCCAAAGGTTAAAGATAAAGAGAGAATCTTAAAAGCAGCAAGAGACCCATACGACCATCAGCTGACTTCTCAAAAGAAACTTTGCAGGCTACAAGGGATTGGCAAGAAATATTCAAAATCATAAAAAGCAGGGACCTTTGCTCTACCCAGCAAAGCTATCATTTAGAATGGAAAGGCAAATAAAGAGCTTCCCAGACCAGAAAAACTAAAGGAGTTCATCATCACCAAACCATTAGTATATGAAATACCAAAGGAACTTATTTAAGGAAAAGAAGATCAAATATATGAGCAATAAAATGGCAAAAAAAAAAAACAAAACAAATCTATCAACAATGGAATCTAAAAAACAAACTAAGCATACCCTGGTTTGTGTGGCTCAGTGGATTGAGAAATATGACAACTAAATACAATGTATGATCCTGGACTTAATCTTGAACTGAAAAGAAAGTGTTTCCTATATTGTACATTACTGGGACAATTGGAAACTGAAATTATTTGAATATATACTATAGATTAGATAACAGTAAATTTCCTGATTTTGAAAAGTTAACACTGGTTATTTAAGATTATGTCCTTGTTCTTTAGAAGTTTATATATACTATATATAATTTACACATGTATATATATTTATACATATGCATAAAACCCTGACCCATATTCCTAACCCTTGATATTATATATTATGTATTATGTTTTATATTTACTAGAGAGAGACAGAAAATGTTAATTAGTAAATATGGTTAAAGAGTATACAGAAGTTCTTTGTACTCTTCTTGCAACATTTCTGTAAGTTTGAAATTACACCAAAATTAAAATTATTGGCTCTGGCTGGGTAGCTCACTTGGTTGGAGCATTGTCCCTATGCACCAAGGTTGTGGGTTTGATTTCCAGTCAGGGCACATACAAGGATCAACTGATGGATGCATGGGTAAGTGGAACAGTGGGTCAATGTTTCTCCCCCACTTCTCTCTCTCTAAAATCAATAATTATTTCTGGCTGGTGTGGCTCAATTGGTTGGAGTGTCCTCTCATAGAGCTAAAAGGTTGCCGGTTCAGTTCCTGGTCAGAGCACATGTCTACAGTGCAGGTTCAATCCCCCATCAGGACGAACACGGGATGCAACCTATGGATGTTTCTCTCTCACATTGATGTTTTGCTCTCACATTAGTGTTTCTCTCTCTCTCTCTCTCTCAATCTCTCTCTTTCTAAAAAAAAAAGAAAGAAAATTTGTGTGTGTTGTGTGTGTGTGTATAAAAAATGGCCATAGTAGCATTATTTTTTACAGTCAAAAACTAGAAATACCTGGCTGGCGTAGCTCAGTGGATTGAGTGCAGGCTGGGAACCAAAGTGTCCCAGGTTCGATTCCCAGCCAGGGTACATTCCTGGGTTGCAGGCCAGAACCCCCAGCAACCGCACATTGATGTTTCTCTCTCTCTCTCTCTCTCTCTCTCTCTCTCCCTCCCTCCCTCCCTTCCCTCTCTAAAAATAAATAAATAAAATCTTAAAAAAAAAAAACTAGAAATAATTGTGAACCTAAAATGCTCTTAAAAAAAAGAAAGGCTCGTTCTGGCCAGGTATCTCAGCTGGTTAAAGCATCATCCTGATACGCCAAGGCTGTGGGTTCAATCTCTGGTCAGGGCATCTAAAAGAAGCAATCAATGAATGCATAAATAAATGGAACAACAAATCAATGTTTTTCTCTTTCTCTCTCTTTCTTCCTCTCTCTAAAATCAATCAATAAAATTTTTAAGTTTAAAAAATATCCTAGACACTATCCAAAGGTCCATTAACTGTACAAAGGGTAAATAATTATAGATATATTTGTACAATGGAACAGTATACAAGTAAAAAAGAACAAACTCTATTACTTTCATAACATTGGATTCATCTTTCAGACAATGTTAACTGAAAGAATCCAGACCCAGCACTAAAAAAGAAATTAGTGTGCTTGCTTCCACAGCATATGTACTAAAATTGGGAGGATACAGAGGAGATTAGCATGGCCCCTTCACAGGGATAATTTGTGAATTCATGAGGTGTTCCACATTTTTAAAAAAGAAAGAAAGAAATGAGCTATTACGCCATGAAAAGACAAGGAAGAAAATTAAGTGCATATTACAAAGTGAAAGAAACCGATCCAAAAAAGTCTTCAGACTGTATGATAGCAACTTTATGATATTCTAGAAAAGGTAAAACTGTGGAGACAATAAAAAAATTATTGGTTGCCAGGGATAGAGGGTAGGATGGAGGGATGAATTTGTGGAGGTGTGGACAAAAAGGGGCCACATACTAAACCTGACAAGCTCAGGGAGGCTGGCAGGAGGGCCTAACATACTCAAGAGACCTAGAGTAGCCACAGAGGATGGTCTGAAATGAAAAGTTTTCTAACTAAAAGCATGTCATGGCAGGCAGTCATGCCTTAGGCTAGAATCTTTCCTGACAAAAGTCAACCTTTACCTTAATTGAGCCTGTCTATTGTCTTTTTGCACTGATGATGACATACCTTTGGAATGTCAAATTTCCTTTTTTGGCCCTGGCTGGTGTGGCTCAGTGGATTGAGTGCCAGCCTGCAAACAGAAGGGTTGCTGGTTTGATTCCCAGTCAGGGCATGCCTGGGTTCCTGGCCAGGTCCCCAGTAAGGGGTGTGTGAAAGGCAACCACACATTGATGTTTCCCTCTCTCTTTTCCTTCCCCTCTCTCTAAAAATAAATAAATAAAATATTTTTTATTTCCTTTTTTGGACCCCCTCAAAGCACAGGCACTGTGCTAGAGGGAGACCACAAGTTCCCATGTTCTTACCGTTACCATGTTAAGTGTTGACTGATAACTATCCTGTACCCACCTATGTAAAAGAAGTGTGTGTCTGTCATTTTCCTTTTTTAGCCAGTCCCAGAGGTTCCCCCAACCTTTGCTTTCTCCCACTGTCCTAATCTATCACCAATGGATTTCAACATAACCCACTTGCATCTTCATCTTCTCTTTTGATTGTAATGTATAAAATAATGTGCAAAACTGCCATTTTTTGGAGCCTTTTTCAATCCATTGAGGTTTTTCTTCCTGGCAATTGTCATCAGTTTGGCTCAAATAAACTAAAAAACTCTTACAGGTTTGGATATTTCCTACATTGACATTTACTTGGTATAGTGCATCAGGATTCCAAAGGATCCCACCAAGGACCACCTTGCAGCCCCAGACTCTTGGTAGGTATGTGTGGGGGCCCATTTTGCTTCACTGGCTCCTCATTTTGCCAAGGAGGAAGGTCTAGAATTCAACTGGAATTCCTGAACCTTCCTGTTTTAAGTTAAGAGACCTTGATTTTTTTTTGTTCATTTCTGTCCTGCTTGTTTATTTATTTTGTTTTTTAATTTTTTATTTATTTTTTAAAGGTTTTATTTATTTATTTTTAGAGAGAGAGGAAGGGGGGAGAAAGAGAGGGACAGAGAGAGGGACAGAGAAAGAGAGGGGAGAAACATCAGTGTGTGGTTGCCTCTCACATAGCTCCCACTGGGGACCTGGCCAGGAACCCAGGCGTGCCCTGACTGGGAATCAAACCAGCAACCCTTCTGTTTGCAGGCCAGCACTCAATCCACTGAGCCACACCAGCCAGGGCCCATTTTTTAAAAAATATTTTATTTATTTATTTTTAGAGAGAGGGGGAAAGGAGAGAGAAAGAAAAGGAGAGAAACATTGCTGTGCGAGAGAAACATCAATCGGTTGCCTCAATTGGTTAACTGGGGACCTGGGCTGTGACCTGGGCCGCAACCCAGGCGTGTGCCCTGACTGGAGATCGAGCCACTGACCCTTTGATTCACAGGCCAGCGCTCAACCCACTGAGCCACACCAGCCGGGGCTGTTTTTTAAATTTTTTAGTTTCAACTGTTGATATATATGTATTTATTGCCATTTTATTGTTCATAGTTTTGACCTTCTTCTTATTAAAGAAGACCCTTTAACATTTCTTATGATACTGATTTGGTGGTGATGAAAAACTGTGGTTTTTTTCTTGTCTGAGAAGCTCTTTATCTGTCCTGGTTTTATTTGAGCTGCTTTTTTGAAGTCCCCCAGGTGGTTAAGGGTTGAGAGAGAACTCAGGCTAAGGTGGGAATGCAGGAAAAATGGGTGGCTGGTTTTTAATTTTGGCTTTTCAGTTGTCATTGCTTTCTGACAGTTGAAAGAAAGCGCCTGAACTTTTTCCGCTCTCAAGACAAGGGGCAGTTCCTCCCTCCAGCTCCAATCCTGAATCTGGAATCTTCGAATCTCCGGTGTTCTTAGGTGACTAAGAATCTCTGTGGAGGCGTAAGGGGGAGCCCCTTAGGGGATTCCAACTGAACTGTAATTAAAAAATTGACTCATCCAGAGACAAACACATAAAGGTTGATCACCTGATCACCTAGTACTTCAAGTCTTCATGGCTGCATTAGACAGCTGAGGAGGAAAACCAAGGCACTTAAGAGGGTTGACAAGACTCCAGGGGTGAGAGCCTCTCAGAGCTCAACCCATAAGCAGCACACTTTGTCCCAGTACACAAAACCCTAGTAATTTGTGCTACTCTACAGACCCCAAAATAAAACTACAATGAACATGGGAAGTTGTGCCAAGGCCAGAAACTCCCAGCCCCCAGCCCCCATTAATACTCCTGGAGATAAAGGAAGCCTGTATTTGCAAGTGCTTTACAGAAATGGGAAGATTTAACTAGAAATAATATCAACTTAAAATGGCCAATATGCAGGGGATTTTTTGGCACCTAAATTAAATTTTTGCATGCAAAATTAGAAAATGCTGGCTCTAAAAACTAAACTGAATAAATGGGAAGTATATATTGACTTGGAAACTACAAGCTTCTAGGAGGATAAATACTTTTTAAAAAATAAGAAGTTTTAGAGACTGTCTCTGAACTACAGAAGGCTTCTGAAGCTAATAAATGCTGACTCCTCACTCCTCCCCCTTCTACAGCTCCTCTACTCTGTTTGCTCTCTGAGCTTCCTAGTTTGGACTTGCCCTCCCCCTTCCCTTTTCCTCTCCTTTCCATCTTCTCCACATCTTCTCCACTCCCACTCGCTACTGACCTAGGGGAAAATGAGAATAGGAATTCAGAAAAGGATAATCCAGGAATTCTAGCAGCTCCCTTTAGAGAAAAGCTGGTCTCCAGCAGAAGGGAACCAGCCATTACATAACATTTCTTGGACTAGAACACAATTAAGCATTCTACCTAAGAATTTCCCCAGTTTTCTCTGGGATCCTGATGGGTTCACAAAGGGATTTAATTTAACTGTTAGAATATGTAAACCTGGCCCTGGCTGGTGTGGCTCAGTGGGTTGAGCACCAGCCTGTGAACTGAAAGGTTGCTGGTTTGATTCCCAGTCAGGGCACGAGCCTGGGTTGTGGGCCAGGTCCCCAAATGGGGGTGTGTGAGAGGCAACCAATTGATGTTTGTGTCACATATCGATGTTTCTGTCCCTTTCCTTCTCCCTCCCTTCTCCTCTCTGTAAAAGTAAATAAATAAAATCTTAAAAAAAGAATATGTAATGTTGGTTATTCTGATCTATTCCATATTCCAATTAATATAATTACATATTCCAATTAATATACCTACTGGTTCCTAGTTACAAAAGCAACAGAATTACTGAACAGTTTTCGCAGGAAGCCTCCTATAGAGGATTCTGCTCACCTTAAAAAGAATAATAGGAAACTGAAATGGGATTTAGAAAGAGAAAAGAAACAGAGGCAAGCATAGGGCTTCTCTGAGGACTGTGAGAAGGCATTTCCCCTTCTCTTTACTAGTAATTTAGGAGAAATTAAACTAAGTTGCCTCCTCCCTTAGAGTAAAACTTCTGTACAGATGGTAAGGATATCTAAGCAACCAATGTCTTTTTAAAATCAGAATCTGTTCCCTTCCAACTAGTGAATGGGGCAGAATACATTTTTGCTAATCAAATCTGCCCCAACTTACTTCATAGGGCGAGATTTTCTTGAAACCAATGATGCCCACATCCTTTTTCCAGAAAGGTGAAATATATTTAGAAATAAGTAAATTGGATACTGGGCCAATTAGGAAAATGCCTATTATCCTCAAGAGGAAAATAGTCTTGAGACTGAATGTTTGTTGCAGGATGTTCCAATGCAACTTCAGCCCTTTTTCAGTCACTGATACACTTTATTCCGAAGCTGGAATTGAGCCCATTATACAAGATTACTTAAAAGGGGATTTGTAATTCCATGTACATGTACAGGTAATTCTCCTATCTATCCAGTAAAGAAACTCAATGGAAAAGAATGGAGATTTATGCAGAATCTCATAGCTATAAATAAAATAGTTATTCCCAAACATCCCATGGTTCCAAATCCACATGACTTATTATCAGCTATCCCTGTGGGCAGCTATTATTATTCAGTGATAGATTCATTTAGTGCCTTTTTCAGCATTCCAGCAAAAAGGGACAGAAATACCTATTTGTTTTCACCTGGGAATATTACAAATTTACTTGAACAGTAAGTAATGCCCCAGGGAGATATAGAGTGTCCCACCTATTTTCTTAATAGCAAAAGCTGATTTAAATGATGTTAGATTTCCTAGAGATTCCACTCTAATCCAATATGTGGATGATTTCATTTCTGCTGTAGGAAATCACTAGACTCCCAAAAGGACGCAATTTACCTATTACAACAACCAGCTATAAAGGGACGTGGGACATAAAGGGACAAGCTCTGGTTCTGTTTACCCCAGGTAAAATACTTTGGTTATCTAATATCTAAAGATGGGCTACTAATTAACCCCGAAAGACTCACAGGAATCTTATCTTTCTTCCAAAACAAGAAAGTAGCTTAGATGATTCCTGGGTTTGACTGGATTTTGTCGCAATTAGATTCCAGATTTTTGTTAATTGACCTGACCCAATTCAGTGACACCCATAAGGGAAACAAGCTGTACAATCTCTAAACAATTATTTAAAACTCCCATTCTAGGAAACCTTAATTATAAGCTTGTAACATTTTATACGTGAAAACATAGGAAATACTTTTAGAAGTTTCACCTCAAACTAGTGATCATCAC